TACCACATGGTTTAAAATCAAGAAAAGATGTGTTTCAGGACTCTATCCTTTCTACATATCTACTCAATCTGTATGCTTAGTAAATCACTCAAAGAGCTGAACTATATGAAGCATCAGAGAAAGACTCATCAACAACCTGAACAACCTTGCTTATTCCAAGTAAAGACTTCAAACACTTGCTGAAGAAAAAAAAGACTACAAGCTTCAATATGAATGAACCTTAACAGTAAGGAAACAAAAATCCTTACCACTGCACTGAAAGATTGAAGTTGTCAATAGTTTCTTTTTGTTTGGTTCCATAACCAAGGCCCTTTGTACCAGCAGTCAAGAAATCAAAAGATACATTGCACTGGAAAAGTGCTGTAAAGGACCTCTCCAAAGTGCCCAGAAGGAATTATGTCAGTTTATAGACTAAGGTGCACCTGGCTCGGGCCATGGTCTTTTCAATCATTTGCTATACATCTGAGAGTTGGACAGTGCATGAGAATGGCAGGAGAATAATCAGTGCCTTTGAGTTGTATTGGAAAGGAGTAGTAACTATCCCATGGACTGCCAAATGAATAAATATGTCTTGGAGAGAATAGACAACAGGGTTCTTGTCTCGCGTACTTTGGGCATGTTTTTAGGAAGGGCCAATCTTTGTAAAAGTCATCATGCTGGAAATACTGAAGAGTCAGCAAAAGAGAGAACAGCCCTCAACAAGGTGGATTGACACAGTAACAGTATGACACAGGATGACCATGTTCAGTTCCATTGTTCATAGGGTCACTATGAGTTGTAGTTAACTTGATGGCGTGTTACAACAACAATCTCTTTCCGTTTGTCTCTCTTTCAACACTCTGATCCTAAACAACTTCATGGACATTAATAACAATTTGGGGATTTTTATCATTGTATCTCTAACTGGGGCACTTTATGTTACACAAATAAGAAAACCAGCAAGGTTGGAAAGAACGTAGCAGAGGGAAGATGTCAGGCAGAAGCCATGGACCATCTTTTAATCGTATTCAGGGCTTTGTGGAGAATTTAGATTTTATGTCAATGGTGATGACAAGCTTTAGGGAGCTCTGCTGGCCTAGTGGGACAGGAGTTGTGCTTTCAACCCAAAGGCAGTCAGTTTGAATCCACTGACAGCTCTGCAGGAAAATGAGCAATCTCCTCCTGTGCAGTTTACAGAGTGTTAGCTATGAATCTGTTCTGACTTGTGAATGAGTAAGTGAGCTGGGAAGTTATTTGAAAAGCTGGATTTAAATCAGTGATGATTTAAGGCAGAGGAGGTACTGCTAATAACAAGCATCATTTATTGAGCACGTATTATATGCTAATGCTTTACACATAATACTCAATTTTTATAACTGGTGATTTGGTGGTAAGGAGATGTTCTGCCAAACCAAAGGCTTTCAGTTCAAACCCACCTGTTTTTCTACCAGAAGTTAAGCGCACTCTTCCTATGTGATTTACAGTCTCTGAAAACCCACTAAAGGTTAGATATGAGTCAATTCTGACTTAACGGTACATAACAAGAATAACCTATGATAGTAATAATTGTAGTTGTTCTCATATTACAAGAAATGCAGTCATCGAGCATTGTTTTTTCATTCTCCCAATTTTTAGTTTGTAACCAAACCAGGCCTTGGAAGTCAATCCAATTTTCTTTAAATGCATTTTAATTGTTTTACATACTATCATTCATATACTTTGTGTATCATTCATGTGCATACACATGGTCTTTTATATAATTTCTGCTGATCTGAATGTATTATCACTTCATCTTTTCAAGTCCTCATTGAGTTTTCCTATTCCTTCACCTCTCTATCTTCCCACTAACTTCTGCTATCTTTGATTTTCCACTTCCCTTGTTCCACTCCTTTTTTCCTTTTCCCTTCCCCTTATAAACATTTATACACATCTTGCTCAGTTATCCTCCTATTTTCACAACTAATAGTCTTATGTATTATTTGTCCTTATGAGACTGAGTTAGTCCTTTCAGCTTAATACTCTCTAGCCTCTCCCATGTTATATAGTATTTTACAAAATCATAGTTCTTTAGTGTTCCATAGTATTACACTGTGTGAATGTACCGCAATTTCTGAATCCATTTATTTGCTGATGGGCATTTGGGTTGTTTCCATTTCCTTGCTGTTGTGAACAATGCTGTTATGAACATTGTTGTTCTTGTTATGTGCCGTTGAGTTGCTTGTGACTCATAGCAACCCTATATACAACAGCCCTAAACTCTGCTCTGTCCTGTGCCAATCACACTGCCTCTGACACACCCTACCCAATTACCTCAGTCACTGAATCAATCCACCTTATAGAGGGCCTTCCCCTCCTGTGCTGTCTCTCCACCCTATCAAGCATGATGTTCCTCTCCAAGGACCGATCCCTCCTTACAATAGTCCAAAGTATGTTAGATGGAGCCTCAGAATTCTTGCCTCAATGGAGCCGCCTGGTTTAACCCTTTCCAGGATGAATCTGTTTGCTTTCCTAGCAGTTCATGGTACCCTCAATACTCTTCTCCAGCGCCACAGCTCAAAGGCATCAATTCTCCTTCTATCCTCCTTAGTCACTGTCCAACTCTTTGATGCATAACAAGTGATAGCAAAGACCATGGCTTGTATCAGATGCATCTTGGTCTCCAGAGAAACACCATTGCTCTTCAGTACTTTGGAGAGGTCCTAACAGCAGACTTTCCCATCGCAATACGTCTTTTAATTTCCCTAATGTTAGATGATGAATCTTCCACCAATCCTGAGGCCGCATTTCTCCTCATAGATCCCAGCCTCCCGGATAATCTCTTCTGCATACAGGTTGAAAAGGTTTGGAGATAGGATGCATCCCTGGTGTACACCCTTCCCAATTTTGAACCATGCAGTGTTTCCTTGCTCTGTTCTGACAGCTGCCTCTTGGTCCAAGTATAGGTTTCGCATTAGCACGATCAAGTGTTCTGGGATTCCCATTTTTCTGAGAGTCAAACAAAGTTTGTTATGATCCATACAATCAAATGCCTTTGCATAATCAATGAAACACAGACATTCCTCTGGTACTCCCTGCTTTCAGCCAAGATCCATCTAACATTAGTTACAATATCCCTAGTACCATGACCCCTTCTAACATACTTTGGGCATGTTGTAAGGAGGGACCGGAACTTGAAGAGGGACATCATGCTTGGGAGGGTAGAGGGACAGCACAGAAGGGGAATGCCCTCTTTGAGGTGGATTAATTCAGTGACTGGGGTAATTGGGATGGGTGTGTCAGAGACAGTGTGATTGGCACAAGACAGAGCAGAGTTAAGGGCTGTTGTACATAAGTTCGCTATGAGTTGCAAGCAACTCCACAGCACATAACAACAACACAATGTTAGATGGATCTTAGCTGAAAGCTGGGAATACCAGAGGAATGTATATCTGTGTTTCATTGATTATGCAAAGGCTTTTGACTGTGTGGATCATAAACTGTGGCTGACTCTGAGAAGAATGGGAATCCCAGAACATTTGATTGTGCTAATGAGAACCCTATACTTGGCAGTTGTCAGAACAGAGCAAGGAAACACTGCATGGTTCAAAATTGGGAAGGGCGTATGCCAGGGATGTGTCCTGTCTCCATACCTTTTCAACCTGTATGCAGAACAGATTATCCGGGAGGGTGGGGTCTATGAAGAGAAATGTGGTATCAAGATTTGTGGAAGATTCATCAACAACCTGCGTTATGCAGATGACACAATCCTACTTGCTGAAACTGAGGAGGACCTGAAGCACTTCCTGCAGAGGGTTGAGGACTACAGCTTCCAATATAGATTGAGGCTCAATGTCAAGAAGACAAAGATTCTCACCACTGGACCAATTGGCAGCATGAGGATGGATGGTAAAGAGATTGTTTGAGGTTGTTCACAGCTTTAGTGGGCTTGGCTCCACAGTCCACACTCTTGGCACCAGTAGCCAGGAAATTAAAAGACGTATTATGATAGGAAAGTTATGGACATAAGTGTATGTATTTCCATTCATGTCTCAGTTTTCGTTGCCTTGGGGTATATTCCTAACAATGATGAATAGCTAGATCATACGGGATTTCTATGTCCAGCTTTTTGAGGAAATGCCAAACTGAAAAAATACAGTCATGAAGCATCTGATGATTAACAATTTGCCCGTGGTCACATAACTCGTAAGTGACAGAGTAAAACTTAATAAGGAGTGCTGCTGTGACATCCTTTCATACTTCCCTTGGAATGTCACTGTAAGTTGGAGTGTTTTATTTTTTTTTCACTCATTTCACATCACTTAAACAAAAGGAATCTTACACTCATATACATTATGGTATGGTATCACTTGCCTTTTTTCTGAACATGTGTAATGTGTAAGAATATTATCATACTTATCTTCTGATTGGAGGAAAAAATGAAATTTCCCAGTGAAATGTTATTTTCAGAATATAGTCTGAAGACAGAATTACATCTCAGTGCCCTTGATTTCCTTATTAACCTAAAGTATTTCTTAATGAATATAAAACATTTCCAAGAAGATGTTCATAAGTTTCCCTGGACTGCTAACAGGCCAGTGATATAGAGACATGATATGAAGAATTCCTATTAAATTGTTTTAATTTGAGTGAAACTGCTGATATGCCTGTGGATGTGTTTCAAAAGGGTGGAGGGAAAGTGCCATGCACATGCCCAGGCTCACAGGATGGCCAGCTGTAGCTATGAGACCACATGCCCCAGTGATCCCAGGATTGCTCCAATTTAAATACTGTTGACTTTCACTCTCATAAGTGCCCTGCATAGAGCAATAAATGATAGAGTGACTGTAGCTATCTCTTTATCAGAAAGTTAGATGGCACATGTAGCAAACGTAGTGCTAACTTCAGGACTCCTGGTTGGCCTTGCCAATGCTGCGTTAAGACTTACTTCCACAATGAAAGAGTGTGTTCAATGCTGTAAGATGAAACACATGATATAATGAAAGAAGGTGATATTTTAACAATAATCATTTTTTCTTTCACAGCCAAAAAGGAACATAAAATGGAAGAAGGCCACTTGGAAAAAGCACAGAAAAGGTAAGCCAGTGTGACTGGGCCCCAGTTCTTTCTTCAAATGACTATTATTTAATTTTTATTTTTCCTCATCTGTTAAGATTTTAGAAACCCAAAACCTGTGATGTCAAGTTAGTCCTCCATGATGGCCCCTCTCCATCAAGTTTCTGAGGCTGCAGTCTTTGTAGGAGGAAGGCCGTCCCTTCTTCTGCTGTGGTACAGCTGGTGATCTTTTGGTTAACAGCACATGAATTATGCACTGTGCTACCAGCGATCCTAAGACTATATACATATATCTATGAATAAGAAAACTTGCTTGGGTCCCGGAATGGAAGTAGCTAACAGGCATTGAGGCTGTGTTTCTTTATGAAGCAGAAGTTGGGCACCGAACTCCCGCACAGCTCATATCACCAGTTGTGTCTGTTGGCCTCTTCTCATGGCTTTGCTCCTGCACTGCTCCTTTAGCAAATTAGGAACAATCTGATCCTCCTTTTCATTATAACTGCTGCTGTGCTTAGGTGCTGTCGAGTCGACCCTGACTCCTCCTCACTCAACGAGGCGAAGTAGCACTGCCCTGTTGTTTTCTGGGCTGCTGTCTTTACTGGAGCAGATCACCGTGGTTTTTCTTCCATTGGACTGTTGGGTGGGTTGAAGCCAGCAGTCATTCCCTTGGTACCTGAGCACTTAACCATAGTGCCACCACAGTGCCTTATCGTTATAAATAGGCTAAACCAACTATTGGAAACGTCTTAGGGACTGACAAGTTTTCTCAGATTCTGCAGTATATTGTAAACAGGCCCGGGTCTAGGGAAACAAGTCTGACCTCTTTATATGAAACACTCACACAGAGCTTGTAAGAGAATCCAGAGGTGATTGATTCAATGTCTCAACTCGCTCAGGCCTCTTTTTCTCAATAGACATCAGAGTGGAGCCATTCACCCATCAGAAAGCAATTATCATTGAGCCTCATCCCTTATGGAATTTTCTTTTTTGTCACTTGTCCAATTTAGTCAGCTTGGCACTATCCTTGCCTCTTAGAAGTGCGAATGAGACTATGCTAAAACCTTCTCACAGTTGCAGCAGAGAACTGAGAGTAATTGTACTAGTGTTGATTCTAACAGTACTAGAAAATTAAAGGAGAAGTAGAGATAGGAAACAGCATATTAGGGGAAATGTGCTTTATAGATATTTTCATGAACTCTCATGGCCTAGTAGCAAGAAGCTGCACTGCAATCTCAAAAGCATATGGTTCAAGGTCACCAGTTGCTCCACGGGAGAAGGATGGGCAGTCTCCCCTTTTGAGATTAACTGCATCTGAAAACTTGCTCAGAGAGTCAGCTATGGGTTAGGGGTATAAATACTAATGAGAAAACTAAAAGTGAGCCATTTTCCTCCTGCGATCAGAGTGTCTAGCCACGATACCTGAAAATTCTAAAGAGTTCTCTCTGTGCCCCCTTAACAAGATCAGCGCTGTGCCCTGCTTCCCACTGTGACTGCTGAAGTATAGAGGCAAATCTTATACTCTTCTAAGTGCAGACATCTTCTTGAATTATGATGGTCATCCTATTATGAAAACCATTGACACAAAGATAATGACACAGAGATCGAGAGATACACATATACCTAGAAAATGAGATAGCATAGATGTATATTTATATTTTATTTATGTGTCCCTTTATAAATTAGTCTTATCATCTCCTATATTAGAGTTTTGACCACTAAGCAAAGGGTTAGAGACCCGAGTGCACATAGAGGTACTTAGAAGAAAAACCTTACCATCAGGGAGCTCTGGTGGCCTAGAGGCAAGAAGTAGCACTGCAGTCCCGAAGGCACACAGTTCGAATCCACCAAATGCTCCACTGGAGAAAGAGGGGGCCTCTCCTCCTGTACCAGTCAGATCCAATTCAATGGTACACAATGGGGGGAGGGGTAATTAAAAAAAAAAAAACCACCAACTTACCCATCTTTCCAGAATAACTCCAACTTACTTTCACTGAGTTTAAACTGACTCATATCTGACCCTCCAGCAGGTTTTCCAGAATCTATAAATCACATGAGAGGGGATTGCCATCTTTCTCCCTCAGCGCAGCTGTGGATTAGAACCACCAGAGACACACCATCTTTGGGTGAACTCCCTTCAGACTATCAACCAACCAGTAAAAACACTGTGGAGTCCCAATTCTACTCTGACGCAACTGGGAGCTTTATGAGACAGGTTCAACGCAACAACAGTTGGTTGTGTGATATCAGTGTTTCCTGCCTTAACATATAAGGCTAATGTTTCAATGTCCAGAAAAGCAGAGATCATCAGTGAAGGCTTAATGGTATCATATCAAACAAAAATGTGGCTTACAGGAATGATGTCAAATTTCCAGTATTTTTTCAGTAGTCTTGCTAAAGGAAAAGGGGTCCACCTTCAAGGGGCCACGGCTGCTTCTGTACACTAGCTATGCTGGGGGTGGGGGGGGTGTCATAAATTTTGCTTGTCAGCGTTTTCTGTGGCTTTGTGGTGAAGGTAGCCTAGCTTTCGTGCCATACATGAAATATTCTAGATCCCATCTTTAATGTAGAAACCACAGTTGTTTGGTTGCAATCTTTAAGGAGGTTGGTGGCCAGTGTTGCAATATTTGTGTGAGATTTGGTGAATTCTTCTGTTTTATTCTCAAGAGAAACAGTTTACTCTGAGGCTAAGGAATATTTGTTTTTCCTGAGCAGTTTCTAAAAGCATGCATGTGAAATACTAAGTGGATATGTTCCGCTTTGGCATCCTAGCACTGCAGAAGTAAAGCAGTCCCCTTTGCCATGGGCTCTTTGATAGGATCATTGTCTGTGCCTTAAAAGAGCTTGGCCAAATTAAAAAGATAGTAATCAGACAAGGAATTATGGCAGAGAGGAAAGGAGTCAGGGAGTAGTTTAGAGGGCTTATTTTTTTAATATTGTCTAAAACAAAACATATGATTAGAAATTGATCTGCTTTAGAGTTATCTGCTGACCAACAGAAATCTGGAAAAGTGTGACTTCTTTGTTTCCTTATCTATTAGAGATTTCTTCTTCTAGTTTCAGAAGATTTTCAATGATTTGTCTTCTGAGTCAAAATTAAATATAAAAGGAGGAGAATTGTATTTTTGGAAGTACAAAGTCTAGACTTTATCAGATAGTTGTAAATTCATCTCCTATATTTTTGCTTTTTCTTCAACAAAGGGATAAGACTGAATTCAAATAAGGCAACAGCTTTAAGGCAAGTTCATGGTCACTCATGCTGCAGTAGACTAAAGCCTGGTCATCCTTGGAAGTCTGTCTGCTTGGTTCCTCTCTAGATGTTCCTTTGCTTTCCTGCTTTCTAAACACATAGGAGAAAGTGCTGATACTCAGTGTTTACCCTTTTTTAAGGGTTAGCAGGCAGGCCTTCAAAAATCCCCAGGGGAGATGTAGGGTGGGTATGTGGTTTGCCTTAGTGGAGAACCGGGAAAAGGAAAACCCCCACAAATGATGGAATGCTTTTCTCAGACACTGTGATAACCACCCAGCATGGCTGGCATTGTCTGTCACTGCACCAGTGTGTGCAATATGTTGGTCTTATCATCTATACTGAAGATGAGTCCCCAGAATATTGAGGCAATCCAGAGTACAATATTGGGACTTTATGCACAGTTATTTTGAAGTACAAGGACTCTTTTCTATGTCTTGCTGGAGAATGAGAAGAGAACTTACCTGTCTGAATACAAAATAGACACAGGATGCACTGAAAGGTCAAATGTTTTGTTACGTGGATATTTTAACACAGACACATACAGAGAACTAGTATGTATTAGTGCCCTCGCTAAGCAACTGGTAGCTTAATGTTAAAGACTTGTGCTGCCAACCCAAAGTTATATGGGTTCGAATCCACCAGCAGCTTCACAGGAGAAAGATGAGCAATTAACTGCCTCTGAAAATCCACTGTAGGGTTAACATATGAGTCACTTCTGACTCAACCGTACCTAACAACAACAGTATGGCAAAATATTAAAATAAGGTTGCAGCCTGTAATTATAGTAATGATAATTTTTTTAATCATATACCAAAATGTTTAGAAGTGGATGACTTTCTTCTGATCACACGCAAATAAAAATATATAGAAGGTAAGCATAAAGAAGAGTAAAAGTATAATATGACACGCTCTGGTGGGGTTCATGCATCCATGACAGGGATGTGCATAATCTAAAGTCATAGTCTTTTTTTTTTTATTCCCTAAATTCCTAACAAGTATAAGCAAAAAAAGAGCAAAGATAATTATTCAGTGGGAAATCAGGAGATCTGAGATACAGTCACAGTCCTGATGAGGAATAATGCCTCTCACACTCCCAAATCCTCTGTTTCTCTGGCCTACAAAGTGAGTAAGAGGGACAAGCCGACCTGTACATCCTTCTCAATTCTAAAATCTGATGACTCTAAGAAATTTGTGACCTACATAAACTGTGTAACTCTCTACTTACATGTTTCCAAGCAATAAGCAATATAATGTCCATATTTACTATAAATTTCATTCCTATTGAATGAAATAAAGGTACATCCTACAGAATACACATTGGATTTTAACAATGTTTTGACCACGGCAGACTTTAGAATTATGTATGGGATAAACGTGGACATTGTACCCTTCTCCTATTACTGATTGTGCACCAACAATTGAAAGGTGTGTGTTTGGAATTATAAGAGTCCCTTAAGAGATTACTGCCGTTATTGCCTTTCTCCGCTTATGCACTTCCACTCTTTTAATAACTAGAAGCCAAAATTCCCTGACCAGTAGTTTTAATTTGCATTAAAAACAGATTTGTTATTTACAGAAGCACAAAGAATTTATGAGACGACGAGCTGCAGCTCCAGCTTGGATCTCGCCTAATCATAGCCATGGAATCAATTAACAGTTCATCTGTGAAATGTGATAAAATCTTATGAGATACATATTGCCCAATAACTGAGAACGAGATGAAAGTATGCTCCATAATAGTAACGGGGCTTCAGGGTTTTACAATCACCATTGAATAGAGTTCCATTAGAAACTCTGTATTCAGGATGGCCACAAAACGTGCTGTGTCTGAACAGATGATAGAGCATTAAGTAATAAACCTGGCCAGCCGTTCCTGCTTTGATTAGTTTCCAACACCCTAGAAAAGGGGGCTATTTATTTAAGTGTTCTTGCTCATGGCAAATGAGCTTGTGAGACTTGGAGAGGGGTGGGAGTGAGGGGGAAAGATTGAGTTCAGAGCCATAAATCGCTGCAAAGCTAGTGCCTCCAAGAAGGGCTGCTTGGGAGGCCTGGCCAGTCGGGTGTGCTGGAGCCTTTGTGGAATACATTGCAAGTCCTTACTAATACCTGAGAAATAATTTGGGGGGGGCGGGGAACAAAACCTGAATTCTTTTCTGACTGGGTTGGAGGAATTTTTTATTTTATTTTTTTTTTTTAAATTCAAGATCAGAGATGGTCTTTTGTCAAGCTTTGCCGTGCCCACAGTTGTCCATTATTTGTATGTTGATGATTTCTAGTCTTACATCAAGGCTTAAAATATGTTATTGTTGTTGACATGGAATTGATTCTAACTCATAGTGACCCCATGTGTGTAGAACAGAACGGCTGCATAGACTTTTCAGTGCTGTGACCTTTTGGAAGCAGCTTTGCCAGGCCTGTTTTCCAAGGCCAGGGTGCATTTGAATTCCCAACTTTTTGGCTGGTTGTCATGTGGTGAACCACTTGTGCCACCCAGAGACCCCTACTACTCTCTAAAGACCATGTAGTCGGTCTCTTTAGTTTACCCTTGAGACAACGGAATCCAAGATGTTGAGTGACTGAGCCAAAGTTACAAAAGGCAGCATGTGCCAGAATAAAAATAGAACATTCCCCTGATTTTTTTTTCATAAAACAATCACTAGATTAATTATTCCCAGGGGGCTTTCTAACTGACCAGTGCTAATACTACAGAATCAACATGTCATCCATCGGTCATGTGAAATCCGTAAACATCAGGGAAAAGCAGATGAATGACTGGAGATGAAGACCAAAGTTAAAAAAAAAAAAAATTTAATCCAAATGCCCCTTGAAAATTATGCATACTGATTTTTATATTATAGATGGGAATGAGAAAACACACCCAAGAATATCCCAGTAAAGCTGCATTTTGTGACAAATCAATTTGGGCAAATGGGTTTTCTAAGGCTTAGGATCAGCTAGGTTACTAGTGCCCTGGGTTGCTGTGTTAGAGAACAGACCTGCACCCTCCTGTACCCTGGCGTTGACAGTTTGTCACCTTTTACCTCACTCCTTCTTCTTTCCCGTCTGTTGCAGCTTTGAGACCACAGTAGGGTATTTTGGGATGAAGCCAAAGTCCGGGGAGAAGGAGGTCACGCCCAACTATGTGTTTATGGTGTGGTACGAGTTCTGCAGCGACTTCAAGACCATTTGGAAACGGGAGAGTAAAAACATATCTAAAGAAAGGTAAGGTTCTAGCAAGGGCTAGGAAACTGCCCTCTCATTCCTGACCAAGTGTGCGCCTAAGTTCACAGGTGTCAGCATAATTTTTAAGTGGACATCTCACAAAGGCTCTTGTTTGGGGTTTTGCAGCAAACCTCGCGGGAGGCTTGCTGTCCACGCTGCAGACGCACTCACGTGATCTGATAAGTTACACTTTCTTAACCCCTTCCAATTACTAGCTAGTAAATGAAAGGGGAGCTGTGCTAATTTGCAACAGATTGCTTCCCTGTGCATTTTCATGTTGGCCCGGTCTAAATGAGGTAGTCTTGCTGTCGCAGACAGTACGGACAAATAAAAGTGAATGCTTTTCCCATTAATATACTGAACTTGCATCAAAGGGAAATCCCTGCAACTCAGGCCACACTTAACACAGTGTTGAAGCCCCGCACTGGATTTACAGCGCCACTTCTGACTCCCCGTATCCTGCTGAGGACATCAAACTTCATGCCGCTCGGCCTCGTAGCAGCCTTCTGATTTTATTAGTTGGGGGTAGAGGGGAAACCTCAGTTCTGAATACGGGGTATGGGTATAGATGTGGGTGTGTGTTCTCCTGAGGGAGACTAAATTTGACCCTGTTGATCAAGGGTGGGGGTTAGACTGGGAGAAGGTATTTCTGTACAATCACTGTTTTGATCAGGTTGTCCCTGTTCTGTAAAGGTACCATAGGTTTAAACTTCAAACAGAACTTGCTACTACTCCTGCAGAACAGATGTATAGCAATGTCACTCAAAGCTGAATGAAAAGACAAAGTTCTGTAAAGGAAAGGAAACAGTTTTTTATAAATAGCAACTATATATACTTCGCTAAACATTGAAACTTGAAATCCTGTAATGCCAGAATTTCGGTTCTTTGTGTTGTAATCCATGAAAAGTTATATAAATAATGCACACATATGTGCACACACAACGAACACTAATATGTTTTACTCTAGGAAGCTGTTTTTAAAGAAAAACCGAATGCCAGATTTTGAGCCTCTACTGTAAGGTCTCTACATATTTTTCTCAAAGAATTTTAGAAAAACATTTTTCACATTCCAAAGACAGCTGAGAGATTCGACAATGTTGATCAGCACATCTTTCTATCATTACCTCCTTGGCAACATAGGAATTAAACTGAGTGTATCCATTATGTAGATAAACTGAAGCAGAAAATAGTTAAGTGGCATCGTTAAGAAAATAGGCTTGTTGATAATAATATGAGGGGAAAGCCTCTCAAAATTTTGACATTCATCTCCATACTTTTTCTCTGCAATTACTTATTTAACCCTTTTTAAAAGAAACTAAAATAAGCTTCTGTGGGTTGAATTCAGTATTTTATGAGTCTTGCGTGGCAGTGGAAGAAGAAAGTTCTTCTATGACATAGTCGCTGCCCAGCCAGTTCCCCCTGTGCACACGCTACAGCTGGAAACCCAATGGTTGTCCCAGAATGGACAGCTTTTGCTTAAGTATTTGCACCTCAAATTGTTATCACAATCCATGAATGTGCCCTTGTAGTTGAAACTCTAAAAATGATTGGGGATAAAACCACACATACTTACACAGAGCAGAGAGGATAATTAAGTGGTTTTCATTTTAATAATTTTCAAATTCTGAACTGTTTTCTAGGTTAGAGTGTTCCTATTAGAGAAGTTAGACCACACTAATTGTGGGTGGTGATGGTGGTGATCTCCCACCGCCCTTCAGAATGACAGTTTCTCTGGTTCCCAAACCTGAGCATTTGCAGTGTTGTTTCCTGGGTTCAGCTGGTGGATTGCCCGCTTCACACTCTGTAAACCAACACCTTGAAAGGGTCATGACTCCACAAGACCCTTTTCAGTTCTTCTTGGGGAGCAATTTCAGGCATCTCCTCTTTCCAGCCATGGTTTGTGAGATGGATCACCAAGGGTTCCAACCTAAAAACAACATCTAGAAAGTAAATGATGGTTTT